TTTGGTCCTGGGTATTGAACTTGGGACCTTACACTTGCAAAGCATGCAGCTGAACCACTGAGGTAAATCCCCAGCCCTTAATGGTGACTTCTAAAAAACAAAATTTTTAAAGTTTTAAGTCCAATTTATTTGTTGTTTTGTGGGGTTTTTTTTACTGTAGCTTCATAATCTTGAAATCAGATAACACAAACCCTCCCACTTTGTTCTTTTCAGAGTTGTTTTGTTGAATTTTGGAATCCATTTTTCAATATTCACCAAAAAAGCTTGCTAGAACTTTAATTGAGATTGCGTTTTTGTATGTGTAGATTAATTTAGGGAAAACTGACATCCTAACTGTATTTAATTTTGATTTGAATATGATATGATACATCTCTGTTTACTCAGATATTCTTTTACTTTCCTTAGTAGTAATTTATAGTTTTCATTCTGTACTTTTGTTGCGGGCAGAGACAGGTGGAAAGTCTCCACAGTCCAAGGCCTGACTCTACCGACATCACAGAAGGTTGTGGAAGAATCAGATAGAGACCAAAAGTTGTACTTTTATTCAGCAAGCATGCAAGAGAGACAGGCAGGGGGTTCTCAAAATGGTGCCACCATTTGAAGGGGGCTCAAGATGCTATTTTTCTAGTATTTGGGGGCCTGTCTTGCCTCTGGGCTGAGGGTGCCCAGTGATTACCTTACCTTGTTACTAGGGACAATAGGGAAGGGTCTTTTTAGGGAACTTTTACATTTTAGGACCGAGATTATTTTTCCTTTTGATCTTAACAATCAAGCTTTGCAGGGCACAGCATGAAGAGGAGGTGCAAGCTCAGACTGCCAGCTTTTCACAGGTGGTTAAGCCTGTTCTGCCAGCTATCTGAACTCCTTGGAGGTAGTCCCCTCATCTCTCCCTGCCTACGGGTCTCTATCCCTAAATCTTTCATAATTTTCATGGCTGTTGTAAATGTTTTTCCTTTTTAAATTTCAGCTTCTAGTTTCATTCTAATTGATTGCTACTATGTGAAAATATAGTTCATTTTCAGATAACAATTTAATATATTCTTAAATGTTCAGTATAGATGACCATGGGACCACAGAGGAAAGCAGCCAGCTCTGCTTACATAAAGGAAAGCTTTGCATAAGAAGAAATATGAATTTTGTAATTATTTCCTTGATTTTTATCATGAATATCTTGCCCACAGTTCTACATGAATTTATAGGAATTACAGTATAGGGCTGGGGATGTAACTCAGAGGTGGAGCACTTGCTTAACATACCTGAGCCTCTAGGTTCAATTCCCAGTATGGCAAAATAATAGCAACAATAAAGTATAAATGACTTTTAAATTATTTTTAAGAAGCATTATACTAAAACTGGGAATTCTAATATTCAGTTTAAATTTTTTAACCATTATCAGAAAATTTAAACCATATTAAAAATAATATTTTTCATAGCTTTATCATGTAAGTATATTTTTATATGCATGTATTAATAAAAATCTAAGCTCACACAAAAGTTGCAAGGCTAATGAATGAATTTTCATATGCTTTTTTTTTTCCCCCTCCATTACCAGGGATTGAACTCAGGAAGTTGCACTTGCCGGGCAGGTGCCGCGCCATTAAGCTATATCCCCAGCCCATTCATATGCTCTTTACTAAGACTCAGCTACTTGCATTTTTGTCCCATTTGCTTCAGCTGTCTTTTTTTTCTCTTCCTGAAATATTTAAGAGTATACTGGAGACATCCCTTTTTTCCTCCAAACTATTTATATTTCCTAAGAATTAGGATAATCTTTCAGTCAGCACAGCACAATTATCCGAATCAAGAAATTTAAATCGATGCAATTCTGTTAGATAATCCCTAGACTATGTTTTAATTTTGTCAATTATCCCAATAAGCCTTTTATAGCCTTTTTCCCCCAGTGTTCAACCAATCCAACCTTATGCCTTCTTTTACTTGTCATGTATCCTTTAAACTGGGTTAGTTTCTCAGTTTTTCCTCTCTGTTCATTCAGATAGGAGTCTAACTGAATGGTATTGTTCCTGTTTGCATGTCTTTTCCCTCAATTGATGCAGGTGTAATGATAGGAATGGTCTGTCGGATTTTGTCTTTCAGATGAGTCTTTTTTACTTAGTCATTAATCAGTAATTATATATTTTATATGTTTTGAACTCTATATATCCTGTCATCATCAAACCCTCACCTACTAATTTTAGAACCATTGATAATTTTTTTAACTCCTGTTACAGTGGTACCTCGGTTCATGAACTTAATACTTTCCATGATTCTAGCCGCAGAATTCATTCCACAGTTGAAACCAAATGTTTGGTTGCAGCCAGAATTGTGGAACAAATTCTGGGACCAAAATCATGGAAAGAATTAAATCCGTGAATGGAGGTACCACTTTCTACATTTAGTACTTGGTGTTCTACTGTATGGAAGGACTTTTCCTTCTTCCTCGTTTATTTATATTTATATAGTAATGGTTGTATAGACACAGATTCTTTTTATTCAGTGGGCTGTAATCTCTTGCTGTCATTTTTAATGCTAATTGCTCCACATTTGATCAGAGGGCTCTCCTTCAAGCTATTGTATCCCTTTGTTGTAGGTCCATTGTGCTTTAATACATTTCTTTGAGCACCTCCTTTTTTAGCACCACAGATATTCTAGGTCCATCTTGTATATTCCTTTCCCCTGCTTTAGCATTGCAACAACCATTTCTTTAAGGAGTCCTACATTTTAGAGTAGTTTTTTTAAAAGCCAAGATTTGAGGTAGAGAATATGTTATACACATGTGTACACACACACACACACACACACACACACACACACACACAACTGTGAATTCCTATGTATACCTCCCTTTCTCATCCAGCATCACAGCATACCTTGTAATCTTCTTCTTTACGTATTTTCTCATTTTCTTCAGGCTGGAATATACAAAAGTAGTTTCAGAATTGCTAAATAGTGCCACTGAGAAAAGTAGTCTAAGTAGTATTCAGTGCTTGTTTACAATTTTTTTTATTAAATAAAATTTATGCACAGGGAAATACGTGATGTTAAGTGTACGATATAGTGAGTTTAGGCAAACACATTCTCATGTATCTCACATGTGTGTCGAGATGTGAAATGTGTCCATCACCTCGGAAAATTCCCTTGAGTCATTCTAGAGAGAGAGAGAGAGATTTATCTTTTTTAGAATTTTATCTAAACAGATTTATGTTTATTATTAGTATGTTTGCCAGTCGTATGTATTCTTCTGTCTTCTTATTACTAAGAAATATTCCTCTGTGTGATCTTGCTAATTTTTTATTGATGGATATTTGGATTGTTTCTGCTTTGAAGTTTGTTGTGGTCTTTATATGTCATCTTGGCTAAGCCACAACTCCTTTAGGATCTAGAGGAGCGGGAAAGAAGGAAAGAGAGAAGGACAGAGAAAAGGAGGTAGTGAGGGAGGCAGTAATGAAGCCATTGTCCTATGTTTTATTCTAGAAGTTTTATGATTTTATATTTGCCTGAGATCCATCTCAAAATTCTATTTGTAGTATAACAGTTCAGTTGTTTTCTTTTTTTTTTTTCCTATGAATGTCTACTTGTTCAACGGAGTTTGCTGGAAAATGTATCCTTTCCTGGATGGATTGTTTTAGCACTTTTGTGGCAAGCAATTGACTGTTACAAGTTCTGTGTAGTTCTCTTGATGTGTAGTTCTTTCCTTGGGCCATGACATAGTAAATGTTGAATGATATAGCTGAATCCTACAATTTGCTTCTATTCTCAAAATTTCTTTGGCTTTCCTACATTAATTTTTTAATGGACATATATTTCTTCTCAATTACTTTTTTTTTGTACCGGGGATCGAACTCAAGCTTGTAAGGCAGGTACCGTGCCACTGAGCTAAATAAATCCCTGGCTCCTTAATTACTAGTTCTTAAAAAGTCTACTGGAAGAGCTAGGCATAGTGGTGCACACCTGTAATCCCAGCACTTGGGAGGCTGGGCTGAGACAGGAGGATCACCACAAGTTTGAGGCCAGCCAGAGCTACATAGCAAGACCCTGTCTCAAAAAATAAAATAAAAAGTAAAAATTCTACTGGGATTATCATTAGAATTAGGAAGAGCCTACAGATAAAAAATGAACATTGTGGCAATATCCCAGCAGATGGTATATTTCTATCTAGGTCTTTACTTTTTCTCAGCGGTGTCTGCTACATTCATTGGGACATTTAGTCGTAGGTGTTATCCATTCTCAGATATGATGGTCAATGGTACTTTGAAATTTTCATTTTCCCATTATTTGCTGCTAGTGTACCTTGGATCTTACTAAATTTACTCATATGTTCCTTTGTCCTTCAGCACTTTTTAGGATTTGTTTTATAAACAATCAGGATATCTTCAGAAATGGACAGTTTTGCCGTTTTTGGTGCTTAGGATTTGACTCCAGGGCCTCGCCAACACAAAGCATGTGTTCTACCAGTAAGCTGCACACCCAGCCTATTAAGTTTTTATAATTTTCATGTCTATTAAAGTTGTTGAGTAGAGTGCTGAGTGGCAGTGATGCCTTTACTTTGTTGATGATCTAAGGTGGGAGGCTTTCATCTTGAGTATGAAGTGAATAGTCACAGATTACTTCTTTCAGGTACTGAACAGTACAGTGAATACACTGGCTATGCTGAAACATACCGTTGGGCCCGCAGCCATGAAGATGGGAGTGAACGGTGAGTCTTTTTCTGACTCTAGTGTTGCCGGGCTCAAAGTAAAGATGTGTGGGGTTTACCCTGGTGTGCTGTGGCCCTTCTGCTCTTCTTCCAGCAAATGGGTTTTCTTTTTATACATTCACTTAAAACTATATTAATGCCAGGTGTAGAGGTGCACACCTCTAATCCTAACACTCGGGAGACTGAGGCAGGAGGATCACCATGAGTTTGAGGCCAGTCTGAGCTACATAGTGAGTTCGAAGCCACCCTAAACTACAGAGTGAGACCTTGTCTTAAAAAAAGGGGGGGTGGCATTCATCTCTGATTCCCTGTACCACCCTATGGTAGCTAGTTTTCTTTTCCATATTTTTTCCAAATAAACTATCTATTGTTACATTAAAAAAAAAAAAACTACTCATAAGCACAAGGTCCCAAGTTCTATCCCTGGTACAAAACAAAACAAAAATAAACTATATTACTGTCTCAATGTACCAAAGGGGAAAAACAAGTCTACAGCAAAAACAAGGAAGACAGTTCTCTATAATTCATACTTCTAAGCTTTTAGCGGAGTGTGGTGGAGGTTAACTTCCAAGCCAGAACTTATTTTGAATGAGTTCTAAACAGAGCCAGAAGCCTTTGGCCAGTTCATTTCACCATCTTTAATTTCTCTATGAGATTAGCTGAATGGAAGAACCTGCATTGGGACAGTTTGTGTAGCAGCAAATAATGGGAAAAAGAAACTTTTCAAAATACCATTGACCATCATATCTGAGAATGGAAAATACCTAGGACAAACTGCTGCCAACAGGACTTGCAGTGAACTCCGCCACTGCTGTCCCATTTCTTAAATTGTATTTCAGACTTTGCCTTCTTGTTTCACCACTAAATTTTGACCTTCCCCAGGGCAAGTTATTTTTTTTTTTTTAAGGAGAAAGCCATCTGGCAGAAAGAAACTAACTGTTGCCCCTGTAGCCAGATCTGTGCTTCACTTCCTCTTTGTAATGGCTCACATCAGCCTCTGATTTCTTGGCTTTTGTTTTGTGTAAAACCTGTAGCAGTTATCTGTGTGGATTTTTACTCCGAATAAATATTTACAGACTAATATGAAGGTTTCTGTTACTCTGTAGCGTGAGAAGTTGCTTAGCATATCAATATATGATATACTTTGTAAAAAGCTGAAATATTTGGAATTTTACACATTCCTAAAATTATTGTCCCAGATAGTACTTTGTATGTCCACTGGTCAATATGTTACTGTCTTTGATGTTTTCTTTTAAAAAATATTTTCTGCGCTGGAGATTTAGCTCAGTGGCACCGCGCCTGCCTTGCAAGCATTAGGTTCTGAGTTCAGTCCCCAGTACTGGAAAAAAAAATACAAAACAGAAATACTTTCTAACAGTTCGGCAGTTGAACACAGTAGATGGAATATTGCACTGAGTTATTACGCATTTTTCATAGCATGTGGACAGTATGTGTTGACGTACATGCCAGTGATTTAGAGCAGATCTCAAAGAGTGAAGTATGAATTCCACATCCTTAGTACCAAAGGGAAACAAAGACCTGAATTCCTTTTGTTTGCTCCCAAATCCTTTGATCTCTGAGACTCGTTGCAATAATGTACCTTTCCGCAGTGTGTACATTGTCTCTTGCTTTTTCTTTTTCTTTAATGCCCAACAATGCGTAATGTGTGTGCCTCTGAATCTAAAAGTAAAATAGTTTCTTGAAACCTATAGTCATGGATCGATTTTGATATTTTAATGCTGTCCAAGTGTCAGTGGTCTGACCCTTGTGGGTGTTTTGTTTGAGGGCCGCTATTCTTCCTCATCTTTTCCCCTTCGTGGCCTGACCCAGGGATGACTGGCAGCGCCGCTGCACAGAGATCGTGGCCATCGATGCACTTCACTTCCGACGCTACCTCGATCAGTTTGTGCCTGAGAAGATGAGACGCGAGCTTAACAAGGCCAGTAACCTTATTTCTTAGTTCAGCTGGCAGCTGTCATCTATTTACTGCCATTTTATTAATGCTGAAATTAATGCTTTCTGGTAATTCTTGCAGTGTCAGTAGGTCTGCCCACAGCTCTCCTGATTTAATGGCTCTGTCAGCTTGTACAAGATGTACTTTCTATTTTGTAATTGTTTGATTACTGGCTGAGGTTGCCAGATAGACTATTGCTTGATGTCAAACCCCACACATGCATTTATCTCATCAGGTACTTTTAGCTGCTTTGGAACATTGTCATTTACGGCCATCTAGAAATGAATGTGTCCTGATCATTTTTTTCAGTCTCCCTAATGAGATTTCATCTATAAGGTATGTTATCAGGATTAAAATCAATAAACCAAAAAAGTCAAATTAATTATTGCCCATATATAGGTAAGAGTCACATGTTGTCTGTGGATTTGGTAATTTGACATTTATGATGGAAGCTGTGGTACTTAGTGCTGCGGTATGATCTTTTTATTATTTAAAATAAATATAAAATGTAAAAATGAGCCAGACCTGTTGTTAGTTCACATTTTCATTACTGTTAACCACAGAAAATAAACCCCATCATACAGTAGAGTGCAGAGTCCAGTGGGTAAATGAATTTGTTGCCTTGTGTGGCAGCATATGCTGATCCCACCACAGGCACCACTGATAGTGACACAGACTGGATGTAAACAACCAGGTTATCCAGAAAGTGTTTTACCACCCTTACAATTTAGTGAGTATTTTGAACATAATTAGATTGATTATCTTGTATCCTACGCTACTTGAGTATCTAATGTATTAACAGATATTTTCTTATTTTAATGTTTAGAGTTCTCAACTGAATCTGATAAAAAGTTTGAAGATAATGTGCTTTTCTGAAGTTGAGCTTATATTCACAATCTTTTTTAAAAATTCTGTAGAAAAGCTATCCAGAAAGACCTTTCTCTACTCTGTCAAGTGTTTTAAATTTCTCTTCTGAGCTGATTCAAATTTGAATTTATTTGTTCTCTATCCGCCGTCTTTCACTAAAGCTGGGTGTGGTGACCACACCTATTATAGTCCCAGCACTCCAGAAGCCAAGGCAGGAGGATCACTGCAGGTTCACAGGGAGCCTAAACTACATAGCAAGATCTTATCTCAAAAAACAAGTAAAAAAAGCAAAGAAAAATATCTTTTACTAATAATTTAAGAGTATACTTTAAATGTGATTCTCTTCAGGGTGGAGGTGTGGCTTGGTGCTTCAAAGTGCTTGCCCATCATGTATGAGGCCCTGGGTTCAATCCATAGCACAACCACCACCGGCCCACCAATCCCCGTGGATGAATGTAAACCTGCTTTTGCTCATCCAAATTCTTACCCTAAAGAAATTGCTTTCAAGCCCATGATTTGTGGAAGAGAGTATCAGATAGAATAGGAACATTTATCTTCATATTGTCCGTATTTTACTTACACATATATAGTTAGGAATTTGTCATGTGGTCATTGAAACTGGAAAGACATTTATTTACATATAGGCAGTAGGTGATTTAGAGAGAAATATATGATAGGAAGATAAAACAAATGTATCTAACCATAATCATACAGTTTATTAACACAAGTTGAAAGATTACTGTTTTTATAAAGTCTGTATTCCAACATGTACTCTCCAGTGGGAGCTATATCATTTACATTTTAGTCATTATCCACAATTACAGTCTTTTTAAAAGGTAATCTTTGCACATAAATGAGTCTTTTTTTACATGTCCTATGGTCAGTTGATTCTGTCCACATTTACTTATATAACAGAAACTTTACTGAAGGTTTACCTGTCCTGAAGGACACCAGAAATTCTCAAAATATGAAAGCTTGGTAACTTGAGTAGATGAAGTTAGTTGTACAGTAAGTGTTCACAACATTGAAAAGCATTTGTTTGTGGAATACAGAATGTTTAAAAGATATTATACAAAAAGATTGAATCTTTAAACTGGCAACAAAGGAGAAGTTTTTTTATTTTATTTTATCCAGATGAGCCAGTGCTTGGCACACTGCCTGCCTGATGAGATGAATGTGCCTCAAAAATAATTTAAGTGATTAATCAAATTACTTCTTACACAACCCTAATACAGATTTTGAGGGTGAACATTTTTGAAATTTCATAAATTATCTCAAATCTCTGAAAATATTAGATATATTCTAAATACTTTCTGAGGACTGAATACAGCCTATTAAGTCCAGTGTCAGATTGGATGCAGAACAGGAAACGATTTGAAGCAGATGAGTTGATTTTTGTTATATAGTAATGCAGTTTTGTATTTGTGTTTGATCTGTCAATATGCAGTCAAGTCTGATCTGTAACTCATAAGATTCTTTTCAGTCAAATACAAATAAAAATTTTTTTCAAATAAAAACTATAATAGTAAAAGCAATGAAATGATTACTGCAGGGTAGGGGCTTTGCTTAGCATCTTAATGCATTGTCTCATTTTCTTTAGCCCCTGTGGTGCTGGGGTCTAAACTCAGGGCTTGGTGGTGTAGGAAAGAACTTCTTCACTGAGCTATCCCCCCAGTCCCTGAGTGTTTTAGGAGTTGTGATTGTTGTTGTTGTTGTTGTTGTTGTTGTTGTTGTTGTTGTTGTTGTCGTCGTCTTGGGGCAGGGTTGGGGGGGGCGTTGGTTGGTTGTTTTGAGGCAATTCTTGGCCTCGTGCTGTCCTGCTTCAGTCCCTCAGGTAGCTAGGTCTGCAGAAGCAGTGCTGCTGGCACACTTGCCTGGTCCAGCTTAATGCTCAGACCTAGGAGGCAAGGATACCATTCTTATCTCTACTTTAGAGACAGTGCCCCTCAGGATGTTTGAATAACTTTTCCCAGGGCCCAGAGCTGAGGAGTACCAGGCTAGGGCTTAAATGCAAGTTCAGTGACTCAAGATTATCCTTGCCTTGGACATGTGTGGTGCTGAGGTTTGAACCCAGGGCTTCTTTCAGGGTAGGCAAGTGCCCTATGAGTCCCAGCCCCAGCCTGTGATCCTCCAGAGGATCCACAGAGGTTACTTTAACTAGGTCTGGCCTTAGAGACTTGTTCACCTGGTTAAATCTGAAATCACTGAGATTGTGCTTGCCTTGTTAATACATGATCTCCTACAAGCATGCTTTCGTCATGTCTTCTACCGTGACCATTAACTTGACTGTGAACAAAATAGCCACTGAATCTTTTTCCCAATATTCTTTACTATTTGGTATACTTTTTAAGGAAATTTAGGCTTGTCCCCAGCATATTTATTGAATTGGCATAGTTTATAGCCTGTCAGCACATGAATTTATTTGTTCAGCGCCTGGTACATGGGGAAGCATGTGTTCTTTCACTCACTGCTGTGTTCCCCAAACTTTATTCTTTCAGCGAAGAATAGTTCTCTAATGCTTTGAAAAAGGAGAAAAATAACATGATTTTGTTAAATGTCATTGACAACTTAATGAAAAATTAATCCAAATAACTTTGGGCTTTTGATATTAAAACATTCCATTCTTTATTAGTTATATTCACCAATTTAAAATTTATGAATTTTAGTAACAGCAGGAATTCCACATAAGCCAGCACCACAATTCGGAAAAGAATTTAACTATATCATATATCATTATGTTTTGTCAATGTAGATTTAAAGCAGAAGTGTAAATTAAACCCTTTTAGATGTCTTGTGTAATTTTTTTTCTTTTCTTTTTTTTTTTCTTTTTTTTTTTTCCTGTTTGCATGCCTGAAAGAAAGTAGGGAGGAATCGAAAAACTACATTATTTTAAATGAAGCAACAAAGCATGCGGCCTCTTTCCAGCATCAGAATTGAGAATGGCTTTCTGAGCTGTAAGGACCTGTTTGTTGCTTCCAGGTATCACTCACCTGATAAGCAGCCCCACAGAGTGCTTTATTCCCCTGGAAGAGGGCTCCCTCCAGGCTCCACCGCCCTACTAGACCCACATGCATTGTGACCTAGTGGTAGACTTGGAGTTTAATAGGAAGGAATCAGTCTTACTTTATCTAACTGGCTCTGTGGAGCTGTGTTGAAAGATCAGCTGGGTGACATTCTGGAGGAGAATTATCTTTGGCTTTGGAAAGATTTATGACTCCTGCTCATAAAAAGTGACAAAAAGCTCTTCAAGGGAAGAAAAAAATCACCTGTAAAGAGTTGTGTGTAGTCAGCTGGGTTAGGCTTCTTTAGTGAGATTGCATAATAAGGACTGGGGTGCAGCTCAGTGGTACAGCACTTGCCTAGCAATGCCTGAGGTTCAGGAATTATAACCCCAGCACCACAGAAGGAAAAAACTTGCATACCAAATACAGTGGAGCCTTCTGGAAAACAAACTAAACAAAGTGGATTGCTACATTTACTTTTTTATTGATTTTTGTTATTATCCAACACCAAATTTGGAATGGGTTATTATTAAATTAAAGCTTCATAACAAAGCCAATCAATACTTGCTATTTCTAAGTTCAACATCTTATCATTTAGAATCTTTTTAAAAATATGTGTCATTACAATTTTCAGAAACAGTTCAGAATTTGTTTCAAATGCAGTGTTTCCCTAAATTTTTAATGTGTAATCAGAATAACCACAAGATACCTGATCTTTGATTTTTTTTCAATGTACTATAATTATTTCAAAGACAAAATACTCGTTCATAATACCACCTTTTAAACAGTTGTTTTCACTTTTATAGGTCTTTCCATGTGAAATTAGTTTTATACAAATGTCCTGAAAATGTACCCATAATTTTATATTGTATCTGTTTCATTGAACTACATATCTTAAATATTTTTAGTTTCTAATAATCTTTATAATGAAATTTTTAATAAAATGAGACATTGATTTTAGCTACTATCCTATTTTTAAACAATTACATGGTCCCGATTTTTTCTATAATTGCTGTTTCTTTAGAAGAAATTTACAAAAATATTCCTGGGCCTGAAAAAAACTTAAGGCCTTTACTAGTATTTATTCTCTTCCAAAGATCCTTAAGAGTCTTTTTATGTCATATTTGTGTTTAAGAAATCCACAAAATACTAAGACATAGTTTCAGTGTGTCTTCTTGGGCCTGCTACAGTTAATGATGATGCCAGAGTTCTGACTTAGCATGCGTGTTCACATTGTGCCCAAATACTATATTCTCCTGGGCCCCAACTTTCCACTGGGCTCAGTTCTAGGACTTCAACACCAACATCTTTTTGTCTCTCTTCCACTTTATTTGCTTCCTTTTTGAATCTCTATCCCCATGCCTTTCTGTTCCATTCCAACTTTTAATTCTAGATACTAATACTCTTTTTCCTTCTTTTCAACATTCCCCCTCTGCAGCCTTCAGGAATCCATACCTTCTCTTTCTTGTCATTATATAGGTGGTGATTATCCTTAGTTACTTAGTATTCTTACTCATTATCCTTTCTTACTATCCTTAGATATAACTGCTTTTCACTTTTTTTAAAACTGTATTTATTCATTTGCATTTTTTTGTTTTGTTTTGTTTTGTTTTTGGTACCAGGGATTAAACTCAGGTCCTTGTGCTTGTGAGGCAGGTATAGCACTCAATGAGTCAAACCCCTGCCCTGTTTGGGGGGTTTTGTTTATTTATTTATGGTACCAGGGATTGAACTCAGGACCTTGTGCTTGTGAGGCAGGCAGTAGAACCACTGAGGTAAATCCCCAGCCTTTGCTTTTCACTTTTTGAATCATTTATTAGGAAAAATAAATTTCTTTGTCATGTCTGAATAACAGGTCTCAGTGCAGCCTGCTTGAGATGACTTCTTTCCCTGATCATTTCCTCAAGTACATTTTGGAAGAAAGTATTTGCCAATGTGAAGCTCCTAGGAATTTCTTGCATCTTTCCTTTGGGATTCAGAACACTATTGAGGTCACTGTCTTTACCTTCTTTGTTTCTATGGTCTTGATTTATGGCTCTTCCCTGGCCTCCAGCCTTTAAGACAGCTCTCTCTTTCCCAGAGAAGAGGGAAAGCCTGGGCTGACCACTCCAAAGGGAACTGGGTGCAGTTTACATGTTTACACAGCCAGCCATCCTTATCTTTGGTTTCTGCATCTGCACAATCACCTGCACATCAAAAATGCTCTAAAAGAATATTTATCTTTGTTGAACATGCACAGACTTTTCTGTCATTATTCCCTAAACAATACAGTATAGTGACTGTTTGTATAGCATTTATAAGCAATCTAGAGATGCTGTGATTATAAAGGAGAGTATATAGGTTAAATGAAAACACTGCATGGTTTTATGTAAGGGACTTGACTATCTGTGACCTTAGTTCCCACAGGGGTGCCCTGAAACCACTCCTCCAAATGATACTTGGGGGTCTATTAGAGTTCCTGTTTCTGACCTTGTATAAGCTGGTCTCAATAGAATAAAATAATTTTGTATTTAATCATATTAACCAATTATTTGTATGACTACTATGTACTTTAATATCATTTAGTTTCTACACTTGATCTTAGCCAAAAGGCCAAGAAGCAATTATCATTTAATTTCTTTCTGATTACTTTTTTTAAAGTTTTGTCTGGTATTCTTCAATCAGATTGTTAAAAGCAGTGAATTTCAGTTTCACAGCTTGTTTTTGTTATGGCCATTTTTCAAGCTAGATCATTTTTCAGGAAAATTCATTAATAACTTCTGTGATACTTTGCTTATAATAATTTAAATACTTCCAATGCTTCATTAAACCCAACAACTTTTGTTCAGTGAAATAAACTTAGCCTGGTTATTTAGAGGCATCAATGAGGAAGAGACTAAAACGACTTTGATACTGTAGTATAAAATGAAGATATGAGCAGGAAGCTAAGAACTCCACCTTTCTGTCCAGGCATCTAAAAAGTGTTGACAGGAACAGAATGGCCAAGTTATGTTTGTTTTGGCAGAGGGTTTATTCTCCCCCTTCTTCATTTGCCAGAATCTTTTCCAGTCAAGAAGGTGCCCCCCAAAAATGGAATTATCTTAGGAGCTTCATGTATCTCATGATGCAGGAGTTTGTGGGTGCGGTATCACAGCATTGAATAATAGTCTGGCACCAACTCATAGTTAATATGCAGGATTTACAGCTGAGAAGGAGTAGAAGAAACAGCCTTATTAATCCATCCAGAAGCAGACAGTGTGTGAAATAAATTTTTATACCTTTGTGGAAACTTCCAAGAGCAGTTTACTATGTTTCTATGTGTGAATTTCATAGAAGCATCTTTCTATTTTCTTGGTTTTTCTCTAGGAACATCTGTCACTGATCATTCTTTTAATTTTATGTGCTATTATACATAAGCTGTATTTTGGGCTTTGTTTGGTAGCTGGGAGAACCTAGGGGAGCTTTGCTTTGCTATTATATTAAACTTCCTAATATAGTAATCTGATAGCTTCAGGAAGTTAAGAACCCTTAAGAAGCAGAAAGACCCACTAAGTGGAGAGAAAAAAAAAAAAATGAAACCAGAAACTATAGAGTCTTAAACCATAGTCTTCTCTCATGTACAAAAAGAACTGTTGGCTTAATTAATGCTTGGCCAGTATCCTCAGGGGATAGTGTACTTTCCTCAGGTTACTAGCAAATTTTTAAATATTCTATCTTAAGACAGAGCTGTGAAATTAGAAAATTCTAGGACTGGATGGGGATCGTAAAGATTTTTTCATATCCAGGTGTAGGAATCCTTTTTAGAGACAGTTGCTTTTTCTTTGTTTAGTATTCCAGCAGCAGGCAGCACATGTACAAGCTAAGCACTACTGTTAATCTAGTCCCAGTGACTCAGGGAGAGAGTGCTGGGGAAACATAAGAAAGAGTAGCTCTGCCCTGATGAAAAAGTAGTAACCAGAAGCCTTCAAAGGAAGCCATTTGAACAAGTGCCTTTCCTGGTAGTTTTAGTGCTTTATCATGGGGATCTCAACAGTTCTTGAAATATCTCTGACAGTCCCTTCTATTTGTTTGAATTGGAAAAAGAAACTTGAGACCTGTATTGATTTAAGGCATTTGATTGCCTAATATCAAAACAGATAAATATCAGAATCTGTCATTTCTTATTCTCTTCCTCATATAATCCCAGGCATTTCTCTTTTCTTTGTTTTCCTCTCTGCTTTGGCCCTGAGAAAACAAGATAAATGAGGGGGAGGACAGAAGCTTGATAATGAAAGCTGATCCTGGGGCATCTGTCAGAAGCACTGTTACTGTCTGGTCACTCATGTGCTGTGATACATTTTTCATCCTGCAGGCTTACTGTGGATTCCTCCGCCCTGGCGTTCCTCCAGAGAACCTCTCTGCGGTGGCCACAGGAAACTGGGGCTGTGGTGCCTTTGGGGGTGATGCTAGATTAAAAGGTGAGTTGTTGTACAGAAGGATGATGACATGCTGACTAGGAAAAAAACTAGTCCTTCAAGCTACATTTCTAATGTTCTATTGTAAGAGACTAGAAAAGCCTAAGAAAGAAAGACCATTTGACACCATCCTCTTTTTTTTTCTTTTTCTTTTTTGGTGGTTTTCTTGAGACAGGGTCTCACTATGTAGTGAGACTGACCTGGAACTCACTATGTAGCTCAGACTGGTCTCGAACTCACAGTGATCCTCCTGTCTCAGCCTCCCGAGTGCTGGAATTACAGGCATGTGCCACCACGCCCAGCCTATCCTCTTTTCTTTCTTGTTCGAAGGAATTCTTAGTCTCACTTACCATTTTTTGTGCAGAGGTTGCTTATCTCTTTGGTCCATCAGACACACTATTTAAGTGAATATAGAAAGTTCAGGGGAAAGAAGAATCCAAAGAGACTGTTAAGTTTCAAACCAAACCACCCACTCCCAGCATTTTTCTTTGCTGGCAAGGATTATTATGGGCAGAGCTATGTCATTGACTCCTTCCTTCACTGAACTGTGGGGCCACCTGCCATGTTCTGGGCACTGTGGTTGGCACTCAGAGTACAGAGGTAAATAAAACGCGGCCCCTGCCTTGCGCACTGCAGTGCAGCTGGCATGTCAGAGAAGCAGGCCATGATGAGCGCTGTGGAAGAGGGAATGCTGCTGTCAGCTGAGTGTGGGACAGCTGCCTTCATTGTCCAGATGAGGAGGCCTAGGGGCACCCAGGAAATGTGAGTGTTTCTTTCTCCTCACTGTGCATGACAGAAAAAAATAAAACCTGATCAACAAAGCCAGTGGCCCACTACCAGATTATTACAACATTTGCTCTACTTTTTTTTTGAAAGGGGGTCTCTTTTTGTAGTTCAGGCAGCCCCTGAACTGTGTATGTAGCACATGTTGGCCCCGAACTCACTACAATCCTCTTTCCTCAGGCTCCCAAGTGTTGAGATTACCGTACAGGCATGCAATTTACTCTGCTTTTGAAAGTATCTTTTCTTAGGATTGTTTACGTTCCACTTCAGTCCAACTGGCCCAACACCAACAGGTTGTGCGCAGTGTAGTTCTGAACCGAACTACCTGGTGTTAGTGCCAACTGCACAAGTTAGGAGCAAGGAGCATTTCAGACTGCAACCGCATATCTGGGAAGACCTGAGCCACCTATAACTGACTAGCTGGTTACCAGTCTGAGATTCTCATGCCCCTCGGGTTTGGTAATTCCGTAGAGTGACTCAGAACTCTTAAGCCCTTTACTTCCAGCAGCCATTTCATTATGAAGGACACAGGCAGGGTGAGGCATGGAAGGGATGCAGAGCTTTGATGTCCTTTCCATGGTCCCCACACATCTTTGTTCAGCCAGGAGCTGTGCCCACCTTTTTAGTACCCAGCAGTTTTACTGGGGCTTGATTACATGGGCATGATTGATTATATCATTGACCATGTGGTTGAACTTGGTCTCCCAGGAGATTGGGCCCTCACATCACCTCATTAGCATAACAAAGACACTAGCAACTCTCTGGCCTTCCCCAGGGTTTTTAGAGCTGCTGCCAGGAACCTAGGACAAGACCTAGAGGAATTCTTTGTTTTATAGTAATTATCAAAGTAACAATAAAACAATGAGAGCAAACATGGCCTTGATAGCAAAACTAGATAGGAGAACATTCATCTCTGAATAGTTGAATCTGTCTACACTCACCTCAAAAGATTGTTACTGTTTTTATAAGAATGACAGTTATTATTTCTTTTGACTATCCAGAGAAATTCTGTAAGTATGTAAAAATCAGAATTTGCTGTTAACATTTTGGGGTTCATCCTTTTGGACATCTTTGTAACAATGTGTTTTAAGTACTTGATATTAATGAGGTCACACTCTACATTCTGTTTTTGAAAACACTGCAATCTCGTGAAAGATTTTCAGCACCAAATGCAGCTGTGACCCGTGTGATCAAAAAACATGGTTAATGTGTGTGTTTATTACAGTAAAAGATACTATACCATTAATCTCCTTCAAAATACTCCCCTCCCTGTCACTTCAAACACATTTATCCCATCATTTTTCCTGCTTTCTGAAACAGTTCTGAAAGTTTCTTTTGTATCTTTACATACAATTGTACTGTCTTGTCTTACCTTGATGTCCTGAATCTATTCAGAACATTTACAGCAGTTTCTGTCAAATGAAAACATTGCAGTGGTTCCTCATCCAACTTCCACCTAATTTGGCACCATGCAACTTCTGGCTGTTCCCCAAAGTCAAAATGACCATGAAAGGTAAATGTTTTTAATCAGTTCAGGACATTGAGGCAGCCACAGTGGCGCTGCTAAAGATAACTTCTGGACCTTCATGAAAAAGTGACAAAAACAATGGCGTAAGTGTGTTCAGAATAAGGGGAAGTTTTTCGAGGAGGATTAATGGTTATATGTCTTTGTAATAAATTTTTTTATTTAAACACATCGTATTTTTTATCAGCCCTTGTACTCTCAACATATTAATAGCTTAAGTGTGTGTATGTCTCACAGAGTCTCCAGGGCTAGTCATTTGTTTTCTTTATCTTGTATTATGAGCAATATACAATTATACATATAAGCTATCTTCCTAGAGTTAATCACTAGAAGTAAAGTTAGCATTCTTTATCCACATTTTAACACTCAACGCAAATCACCCCTAAAAGGCTGTGTCACTTTATATTGTCTTCCTTGCCTGAGCAGCTTCATGAAGTCAGGACGTGTCAGTCTTTTCAGTTTCTCTGAGATTCAGCAACTTTCATGTATTTTGTTGAACATTTTTTTTGTTTTGTTTTGTGAATTGCTCTTTAATGCCTTCTACCCATTTACCTCTTTAGGAGTAATTGATTTTTTAATAGCTAGAATAACTCTGTATGTTAAGGAATACTAAATGTTTAATGGTCTTATGTTACAGGCATTTTTTTTTTCATTTATTTCAGCCTTTGAGTCTGTGGCCACACTTCTTCATGTGTACTCGTTTTTGTGGCATGCTTAGAAAAAAATCTTTCTGTCCCATCATCCTAAAGACTCTCACCCCCACATCCTCTTCCAGTGCAGAATCAAAAACTACAGAGGTGTTTTGATTTTTGTTTTTTTCCATTGTTCAAAAATCCATAAAAGAAGGCTGTTGGGTTTTTTATTTTATGAAATTCTTTAGCATCCTGAATGTGTTACAGGAAACCTCTTTTTCAGTCTGGACTTATTGATCTTATGGCAAACACTTTTTTCTCTCTCTCTCTTAAGTAAAATTAATGACTAGATTCATGTCATCAATTCAGGAACCAGGTCTGCCATAAACCTTGGTCGTTTGTGCTAGACAATTTGGAAAGCTTTATAAATGTGTTTATTTCTTTCTCTTTCTTTGTGGCTTAAGAGCCTTTCTTTCAGATTGTAGCTGTGCTTGCTCTGGCGACTGTCAGGTGTAGTGTTCAGAAATTTCCTCCGTGTGATTAATTTTTTCAGTTATTAGATTGGGAGCTCTCCTTCCCCTTCACTCACATGAATGATTGTTAACATGAGAAGTAGTTATTGTAATGGCCCTTGGTTAGGAGGTTGGTTCCTAAAACTGCTCTTTAGTATGAAAGAGATATATCTGTGTAATAAGGTATTACACAGCCATTAAAAACAATTATACGAATATATCTGCTTCCATGTTTTTGGAGTATTGCCATAGGGGGCAAGGTTCACAGTGGATTTCTGGCTACAGGTAGTTCCAGACTAGGTTATTTTGTTTATGGTAGTTTTGAGTGTTGAACCCAGGGCCTTGCACCAGACAAGTACTCTACTACTGAGCTATCCCAGGCATTTTTATTTTTTTGTTTTCAGATGGAGTCCCCACAAGTTCCTTGGGCTGGCCATGAACTTGTTATCCTTCTGTCACAGCCTCCTGAGTAGCTGAAATTACAGACATGTGCCCTGCGCTCAGTTCAAAATATTTTTGTGTGTTGTCTCACTATGTGTCACTATGTAGTACAGACTGACCTCTAATTCATGATCCTTCTTTGGCCTCCCAGGTGCTAGGATTAAAGGCATAAACTGCCACACCTGGCACAGGATTCTTTATAGTGGTGCAAAAGCATTCAACAGAAACCAAACTTCAAGTTTTTTATCTTGTCCTAGGCTAGTGCTGTGCAGTCCAATACTCCCCCAAGATGCTGGACAGTAGCAGGAAGTAACAGCTCCCACTAAGCCCCATGATTGAGAGGAAAAACAACCAATGTTCTAGTGTGTTGTGCTGCTAAGATAGGATAGCTTAGGTAGCTAGATGCGTTGTTCCACTTAGGATATTTTGAACTATGGGTTTATCAGGACATAACCCCATCATAAATCTAGGAGTTTCCATATTCAAACTCTTTATTTGAAAAAAGACAGGACTACAGCTATCCCATCCTTCTGGGTAGAGGGAGGTTATCAGCCAATATTGCTGAGAAAGACAAGGTAGAGTTGACCAGGGGGGTGACTTGATCCTGGCATCAGTGTGCTTTGCCTCGTCTCTCCATGCGTGTGTGTGTGTGTGTGTGTGTGTGTGTGTGTGTGGGTGTGTCCCCTTCCTGCCTGTGCTCTTAAACTGGACCAGCTTAGATATTTTCCTAGCCCTGGACCCATGTTATCATAGCCAGGAATTCAGCAAATGTTTGACACATTCCTACTGAGAATGAAGTTTCTTGCTAGTTTCTATGATATATTTATATTAAGTGAAAGGTTTCTGAGATATAGAAACGGTATAAATTTGCTTTCTTTTTGACTTCATGTCCATTGTTACCAGCCTCAATAATGTCTACTATTTTCTTCACTATCTTAGAGTCAAAATAGCTGAACTCCAGAAAAACAACGTAGAGAAGATTAGACCTAGAAATGCGCAGGAGCCCTTCCCTTCCATACTGAGGCTGCCCAAGCCCTTTGACTTCCTTTGTGGCAGGTGTGGTCATGGAGGGGGTGGGACTGTGCACCAGGTTGCATCACCTGCTTATCT